TATCTGACCTTCCTTTTTGGTTCACTTTGATAGGCGCTCACATGCCATGGTGACACATGAGTATGTAGAAATACATAGATTGTTGCAGTGACAGGAGGCAGAGCAGGGACTCTTTCCTTCATTAACATATGCCATCTCTAAAATAAATAAAAGCTTTAAAGAGGCTCTTCTCCTACCAGACAGTGTTATAAGAAACAAAAATAACGTACTGAACATCCCTAACTTTGGACCTATTCATGTAACAAACAATTACTTACTTGGATAGACTATTTAAAAAAAAAAAACAACCAAACAAAACTGAAACAAACAAGAAAAACCAGCAGCAACAATAAGAATTGTTGCAATCTGACATGTGAGAAAGATCCTCCTTTAAAAGACTTTGCACTTATCCAGTACAATCTCTCTGTTCAAAAAAACACCTAGTTGTCTGCTTATGTATTCTGCTGGGAGAGGTCTGAAAGCACCTTAAACTTTGTTATTTGAGATAACCTTTTTTGATACTTTTTTTTTTTTACAAACTCTAAATTCTTTTCCCTTTACTTTTTATTTAAAAAAAAAACCTTATCCTGAGTATACAAAACAATATTTGACTTGTATAGGACAAGAATATGGAGTTAATGGTCTGAAATGGCTGGAAAGCTGCCCGGTAGGAAAGGACCTGGGGTTGACAGCCACCTGAACATGAGCCGGCAGTGTGCCCAGGTGGCCAAGGCGGCCAGCGACATACTGGCCTGTATCAGAAATAGTGTAGCCAGCAGGAGTAGGGAAGTGATCGTGCCCCTGTACTCGGCACTGGTGAGGCCGCACCTCGAATACTGTGTTCAGTTTTGGGCCCCTCACTACAAGAAGGACATTGAAGCATTGGAGCGTGTCCAGAGAAGGGCAACGAAGCTGGTGAAGGGTCTAGAGAACAAATCTTATGAGGAGCGGCTGAGGGAACTGGGGTTGTTTAGCCTGGAGAAGAGGAGGCTGAGGGGAGACCTCATCGCGCTCTACAACTACCTGAAAGGAGGTTGTAGTGAGGTGGGGGTTGGTCTCTTCTCCCAAGTAACTAGTGATAGGAGGAGAGGAAATGGCCTCAAGTTGCACCAAGGGAGGTTTAGATTGGATGCTAGGAAAAAATTTATTCACCAAAAGGGTTGTCAGGCCTTGGAACAGGCTGCCCAGGGAAGTGGTTGAGTCACCATCCCTGGAAGTATTTAAAAGATGTGTAGATGAGGTGCTTAGGGACGTGGTTTAGTGGGCATGGAGGTGTTGGGTTGACGGTTAGACTCGATGATCTTAGAGGTCTTTTCGAACTTTAATGATTCTATGATTCTGTGACTATGAATTTCCAGTTTTGCAGTCTAAGTTGGCACACTTCACTCCTTCTGCAAAATACATTTAAAAAAAGAACTACAACAAAAACCCAGAGTTGTTCAAAACAGAAGGGCCCCCCCCACTCTACCTAACAGATAGGTAGAATGAACTGCTTTATAAAGTGCATGTCTGAAAGTGTAAAGAAAGCTCTTAGCAACTTTGAAGTACCCTTTGCTTTCCAAGCTGGGCTTCCACTTCACACTGACAAACCCTGTGACTGACAGTTGTGCCAGAGGGAATTCTGCAGATCCGCTTGGAAACATCTCAGTAAGGCACCGCAGGTGGGCAAGCTGCCTGGCTAATGCAGTGCTAGCAATCTCTGGTGCTTTTTATCATGTGCATAAAACCAAATTATCAGCTGTTTCTAAACAGACATTGCTTGTATCAACTGTGACTAGAATTTGTAACTATCACATTTTAATTCATCACTGTCACAAATGTGAAAAATATTGCCGAGTCAAGGGCTTCTTTGGAAGTTGCTGAGGAAACAAAACAAAGAGAGGGAAAGGATTTGTTTGTTAATTTGCATATCAATCCTTAAAAAGATTGCTCTTTCAAAGCTGCACTGTGTCTCCTTCCTGGAAGTCTGCCTCACATGTCAAGAAAAAGAAAACAAATTATTTTACTAGAGATTACTGTATATTAATTGATTATGATAAATAATGACAGTGAGGATAACATTTGATAAGGAACAGAGTGGTGGTTTCAAAAACAGCAGGTTATTTAGCCTTAAGTCTTCCATCAAAATTAATATCTCTCCAGAAAATGCTGTAATCCTTATTTTCTTTTTCTTTTATTTTTCTCCTGCACAAGTAACAAACTGACTTGGAAAAGTGGTTTTGGATCAAGCTCTGTTCTGTTTTTTTCCTTTCTTAAACTATCTACCAGGCTGCTAGACTGTGCTGTTCCAGTCTGACAGTAATTTTGTGTATCCTGTTATAAAACGTGCAGTACTGCTCTATAGCCCAGTAAGCTCTCTAAGAAAGTGCAGTCATTAGAAATGAGCCATTTTGGAGGTAGACACTGAATAGGAGAGAACACTGATCGATTAACACATACGTATTGTCCACCCCAGATTACTGAAATGGCTTTTCTGAATAACTTTTGTCTGGGTCAAATAGTCATGGCATAGCCTGGCCACAAATCATGCATACCAAATTTGAAGATGAAAAGGGCTTTATAGAGGATTGTAAGGTGTGGGCCAAAACTGGATTTATTTAGGAAAGTAGGTTCCAGCTTTAACTGCTGAGTACCCTTTACTGCTTCAAGATTTGCCCACAATTTAAAAAAAAAAAAAAAAGGCTTATTTTGGCAGTATAATTTAGTGGTTTCTACTAAAAAAGTTAGTGGTTTCTATTAAAAAACTTAGTGGTTTCTCTCCAAAAACCTTGAGTTGGAAGGCCTGTTTTGTGTCAGGATAGATTTTGAGGTCTGCATATTAGTTTGTGTGCATCAATAATTATTTTACTCATGTAATACCATTTAGCCTAGCCTAGCCTAGCCTCAAAATACCCAACTAAAACTCTAAGTAAAATTGGTGAGGCATTTTGTGGCTATAGGCTGCAGGAATACTCTAAGGCCTCAGTGATAATACTGCTAGAATAATTATGCTTGCATTCATTAAAATATATATTAGCAATGATAAATAGTGGTGTATTTAAAATCCTGCTGTACAGCAGAAGAAATGTTAAGTAGTCACTCTTAGAAAAGCCTTTTCTACTAGTTAAGCATACCCAAAAAGATGGCTCTCTTCTTTGAATTCACTGCTTAATTTATAAAAAGTAGACAAACCAATTTTCCCAGTGTTAGCATGCCTTCTTCCATGCCTGAACAGAGGTAATTCTCATTTTATATTATATGTAAAATACTCAGAAATATTTACAAAGAAGACAGGCATGGGAATGCCTGCAGCTGGAAGAGTGTGTCATAACAAGCCCCGAATGCTGGTGTATGACATGTCAGAGAGCAAGGGATCGCTGTAGGCATAACCATCACTTCTGAGCTGAAATATGGGTAATGACATGGAGAGTGTGGTCAATTCAACTTTAATTCTTGAGACTGGGTGAGAATATGTGCCTGTATGAGAAGCTGAACCAGTATCATTAGGTAATTTTTTTTCAGAAATTTTAAATTCCCCCACCACCCCCCCCCTTTATTTTTTTTCCCTTTCTGTGTCACTGAAGTCAAGTCTATATAGGACACTGCTTAGGGATGAATCAGATTTTTGTTAATCCTCTCTCATCATATTCACAACAGCTAATTTTGCATGGCACTTACTGGCATAGTCCCAGCTGTGTAAGTTGGATTCATTTAATCAGGTTATTTACTTTTCTGTGTCATCCTTTAAATGGGTAGAAGTTGCTGTAGTCTAGCTGCAAGGGATACCATCATCTCTTCATGACTCCTCATAGTTTATTAGTTAAAGGCACTGCTTCGTTAAAGGCATTTTGTTATGTGCTCTCTGTTCAGAAATAAACTCTCTGCTCAGACCAATGTAGCAATCATCACATGCCATCATTGGTTTTTCAAAATGGGAGAGATTTAGCCAGATCTCTTTGGCTGTAGAAATTAAACCGTATGCAAACAGGAGATAAATTCAATGGTAATGCAAACTGCCTGTGTCTTCAGATCTGCAAGTGTATCATATTTACACTGATCATGCTGTATTGTAAATTGTGATTTATGAATTGGTAATGCACAAATGTGTGTACCTTTACAGATAAATACATCATCTTTCCTGGTAAGTTGGAACTAGATTTGAAATAAAAGCTTCTCAGAATAAAAACATTTCTTGATATTCAGTAGTTGGTTGGCTTCAGTCCTTCGGTTTGGATTCATACAGAAATGAAGTCTCATTACAAATCTTGAATTCATACTGACCTAATGTGAGGGCAAGGGAATAGTATTTGTGTCGTGGTTTAACCCCATGCAGCCGCTCACTTCCCCCCCCCCCCTCCGGTGGGATGGGGGAGAGAATCGGGAGGGCACAAGTAGGAAAACTCCCGGGTTGAGATAAAAACAGTTTAATAATTGAAATAAAACAAAATAGAACAGTAATAGTAACAACAATAGAGAACAACAACAATAACAGAATATACAGAGCAGGCAACGCACAACGCAACTGCTCACCGACCACCGACCGCGTGTCACGAACGGGGGGGGCAAGCCCTCCCACACACCTGGTTTTTATACTGAGCATGATGTCACATGGTATAGAATACCCCATTGGCCAGCTGGGTCCTCCACCCCGGCTGTGCTCCCCACCCCCGGTGCGAGCATCAGCCAGCAACAGCCAAAGCATCAATGGGCCATCAACGCTCCTTTCATACCAAACCCAAAACACAGCACACCCCCCAAGCTACTGGGAAGAAAGTTAACTCTGTCCCAGCCGGAACCAGGACAATTTGTTACCCCATGTGTGCTGAACAATGCGGGGCTGATCTTCAGTATATATGGGTGTATTTATAAATAAATAAATAAGTAAGTGTGTGTATGTCAGCTGTTCTGTACAGGAAACCCAGATTTCATGAACTGTAGATTACTTCATTTGACCACAAAAGGATTCCCTGAATGATTCCATAGTATTGTAAATATTGGTTTATATGAATAGTAAAACTTTTCCCATTCTGTTTTTATTAAAGGAAAACCACTGCAGAAGAATAAAAATCCTAGGGGACTGTTACTACTGCGTATCAGGATTGACCCAGCCCAAAACAGATCATGCCCATTGCTGTGTTGAAATGGGACTGGATATGATTGACACCATCACGTAAGTATTGTGCACGGTGAACCCGGACAGGAGTGTTGCAACAACTTCTGTGTGGCATTCAGGAAGTGTGTCTCAGAAAAACAGCAGCATCAGCTAGCAGTGCCCACCTAGCAATTCACACTGTTGCATTCGGGTCACAGGATACTGATTTTAGGAAGGGTCATTCTAGACATCAATTTTCCACTCCATTTAATTGCTGTGAGGAAAAAGTGCACAAGTGTGAATACGTAGAGGCACATACATGTACTGATTAGAGGACAAAAAAATACTGGAAAATAATGAAATATTCCTATGGCCATTTGCCACAAAGAAAGGAGTCCGATTTCTTGTTTTACAGGGATAAACACTGCTCATTTTGCACACCAGTATGTAAACACAAAGCCGGTCCTGATGTATGCATGTTGTGTATGTGTTTGTATTCTCAAAATGATAGCTTGCTGATTTCTCCTTTCTGTATGTCATGTTTAAACGTTTAATTTATTCTGCTTTTCAGAAATGTAATGTGAAATTCATTTTGCTGATCAGAAGAATTTTTTTACGCTTGAGAGCTCTGCATTGATCATTATTTTACCAAGGCAAAAAATGTTAATGTGAGAGAACTGTGAATGAGCTTTTAGCAAGAGCTGAAGATCTATTTCATTACATAGGAGGGAAGGGATAAAGATGGGAAATTTCTTCACTACTGTGTTGCTCTGTGTGTGTGTGCATGTGTGTGCTTGTGTTTTATAGGGAAGCTATACAGGGAGTGCACACCTGTATTAATTCTGTATGTAAATAAATACTGGTCAGAACAGTGCTGTTACATTTGGAATGAGCTTGCACAAGTGTGTCACATCAGAGGCCTTATCCTGTTCTGTATTGGAAAGTGTTTGGCCACTGTTTCCAGTAGCCAGTTACTCTTTCTCTCTGTTGTCAGCTGGGCTGTTGGGAATATTGAGTTGACTCAAGGTTCTGCTTCCCCTTACTTAATCCCCAAGGTTTTGCATTGTACACAGAGAAGACCTGCCTTCTCTGTGAAGAAGAATAGACCACCGTGTAATTTCAATTTTAAAATGAAGAGCAAACTATTAAATAAAGAAAAAAAAATTATAGAATAAGCAAACATAAGGCTTATGAATTCAAATTATGCATTTTTGATTTGGAACATTTCACCTCCTTTCTTGTTTCTAATAAGGCTTTTGCTACATCATGTATTTCATGTCTTCCATTTGTATATGAGGATGTTTATGCACATATATGCACACAAAGAGCTTGTTTTTCCAAAACCAAATTGTGCTCATTTGTGGAAAGTCTTCGTGTTGTAGAAGAATGTATTATGATCCTCTCACAGAGTTCACTGTAAGTTTTGCTCAAGAGAGTTGGGTTTATCTCTATGGAAGTAATGGCTATTTCTTCAAGCCCTGCTAATGCTTTAGGGGAACATGGACATTACTACACATCTTTGTTGTTTCATATCAACCTTAAACTTTTCTGTGAACCTGGATTCATTGAGGTTTCTTTGCAAAGGACTTGAAAACATAGAAAAAAGGAGAGAAGTACTTAAAGCAGTTGAAGGCTGATTGTCATTTCTAGCTCAATCCATGTGTTTTTACTACCCATGTGTTTTATAAATGTTCATCTATAAAATCTCTCAGAATGTGAAGAGTTGGGTAAATGAATCCGTATTCTCCCTCTCATTCAATGCAAGTTCATCGTCTTTGTAAAAATTGTAAAATTGATACAAGACTTTGTAATCTATGATAATATATGATAGTCTACAGTACTATAAAATCCTAAAAGAATATCCTAAGTCTGCAAATTATGTATATGTGCATTCTTCCAGCAGTATATGGATACTCCATTTATAAGAAAGCCTTGGCCTTTAGAAGCATAGTTAGATATACAGGCCTTGTACATATTTTCCAAAGTCTTTCTTTTTAAATCCCTGGAAAGCAGTAGCTGATGATCTCATCCTCTTTTAAACCTAGCATTAGTCTTTAATTCATTGGTTGTGCTGTGTTTCATACAAATGTGTTGTATACAAATAAGGTAGTGATATAACTGTCTGAACTTTCCTTCTTTGAATGTTTCAGTTTTACTAATATTAGAAATGAAACATGTTCTCTTCTTATGTTGTCATTTATTGGCTGCTGTCATGACAATGTAAACTCGAAAAAGGAGTTAAATTAAAAAGGAAGGAATGAACTGGGACTGCTCAGCCTGGAGAAAAGAAGACTTAGGGGGAATCCTATCAATGCATACAAATACCTGATGAGAGGGTGTAAAGAGGACAAAGCCAAACTTTTCTCAGTGGTATCCAGTATCGGGGCAAGAGGAAATGGGCACAAGCTGAAGTACAAGAAAGTCCATTTAAATGTAAGAAAAAAACTTTTTTAGTGTGGAGGTGGTCAGATACTGGAGAGGTTGCACTGGCAGGTTGTGGAGTTTGCATCCTTGGAGAGATTTAAAATCCAGCTGGACACAGTCCTGGGCAACCTTCTGTAGCTGACTCTGCTCTGAGCCAGAGTCCCCTTCCAGCATCAACAACTCTGTGATTCTAAATGGATGGGCTGTAGTGTGTTATCTAGACATGTTTAGTCAGAGAACATAACTAACTGACAATTTCAGCATTTCATTTTTTAAAGAATTCATAAATTGTAAGTCTTTAGAGTGTGTAGTCAGTGGTCAGAGCATGGTGAGAGGGCAAGGTGGAGAAGAGGCAAGGTTATAAGAGAGTGTCAGGTTTATTTAGGGTTGTTGAATGGCTAGAGAACTATTCTGCATTCTTTGTACATAAGCACAACCAATTAATCCCAATTTTTTTCTCAGTGAGGAATTAGTAGTGTGAGTAAGGACTGTAAGATTCAGGCTCACCGCATATTAGTTATATTAGTTAAATGAATGTGCCTGTTCTGCTTATGTTAGGAAACAGCAAGATGGTGCATTCCAAGTACCGTTGCCCTTGATGGCAGTGCTATTTTTTTCTTTTACTGCAAGTGCAGCATCATCTGTTCAGATATTGTTGGATTTTGGGTGAGGTTCTTTTGGTGACAGAAGCACTTGACTAAACCAACTGCACAAAGACCTCCAAACCAGGAAAATAGGTTCTGCTGAAGATTAGGAAAAAAACTCTTCACTTCTTCACAGAGACCAAAGTTAGAAGATGGATTCCCCAGATTAATTTTTTTGAAAATACGTTGAGCAAATGAAAAGGAGAAGTGAAGGACTTATGATGATGAAGTTGGAATGCAACATTTTATTTTCTATTGTTATGATTATTAGGTGGTGTTGTTTATCAGTCCCATGAGATGCAGAGTCACTTTTGTTTTTATACTTCTCCCTTTCATCCAGAGTTGGATGCCAGCTGGTAGTCTTTAAAAGTCTATTTACTTTACTGCAGAAATCAGGTCTTGGCATTGTAAATTTATGCTTGGAAGTCGTTATCCCTAGTGACAGGTTTGTCATGTTACCTGGGATAAATAAATGAATAAAATCACTTGAATTGTGACTCAGCTGATGGATCTGTGAAAAGTGCCTGTCCCAAAGATATGTACCACCAAGATGTCCTCTTTCCAGGAAATCAAGGAGTAAAAGCCTCTAGTGGCTGGTTGATGGATCTGTGATTTGACCGAGTTGAATGTTATGAGTTCATATAAATTGATACTTTCTGTTATCTTCATGTTCTGTGAACTGTTATTTAAGTATCCTAGAATATGGTGCTGCATGTGAGTATCATCTGAGGATGTTGCCTCATTACATTTAGATTGAGATTTTCAGGGTAATTTTCAAAGAACATTATAAAATACTTTTCACAATTTCATCTGCCTTCTACAAAGTATTTTTTTCAAGGGCACAGTTAAAGTCAGACCAGAATCATAATGGGAGGATCTTTTTTTTTTCCTTAAAAAAACAGGAAAACAGATAGTGTTATATTCTGTTTCTATTCCAAAAGAATTTTTGCTGCCAGTGAGTTTTGTGTCAGTGCCTCAGTACAGGCCAGGTGTTTGTTCTACTTCAGAGTCACTTAAACCATCATGGCAGTATTTAAGTGGGAGTTAAGTGTTGGATACCACCAATGTTGCTTTCATCAGGTGAGTTTTAACTGTCAGATTTTTGTTAGTAATATAATTAAAATGGTCATGTTCATTAGCGCCTGTGATGTGCCAGATGTTGCTCGAATGTGCCAGATGTTGTCCTCACCTCGGTTTTGAACAGTGTGTTAGGCCAAGTACAGTCTTCACCTTACTTAAATTGCTTGCCTTTGAAGGTTCCACTCTATTTACTACAGTATTTTACCTTCTAAATAGATATATTTATTAGCTAATTGCCATGTAGAAAAGTTTTGCCCAGCTACCCAAGCTCTTCCCTCTCTCCCCCATAAACTGGCTAAAGTTCTGGTTTAAGCTAGCATTACAGGGGCAATTTTATACATTCTTAATAATAGTTTGTCTTTCCTTACAGAGCACTTCATCAACTGATATAAATTATATTAGACAATTCTATGGCTTAGTCCAGAAATGTAGCCTCTGAGGAGATGAAGTATGATGAAATGAGGGAGTTACTTAAATGCACTTGATAATGCCACAGGGCAGGAAGTGAACTGTAATGTTTCCAACTGGAAATGAGGAGGGAATCTGGGCGAGCAGGATATAAATACTAGATTTGGGACTGGGCCAGAATGCTGGGGTTAACATTCATAAACTTGTCAAAAGTGTAATGGGATCTTGTAATCATTCATGTTGTCACATAAACGGTACATTTTCATGATACTCCTTCTCTTGACATCTTACTAGGATGCCATTTTAGTACTCAGTCAGAGGGAATTGCACCATTAACTACATCGCTGGCTATGTCTACATTAGCAGGTAGCATGGCACAGTAGGAGCACAACTGTAGATCACAGCAGCTGGTGCTGACTACTTGAGTTTAACCTATACGTATTACAGGGCGAGGAGGGGGAGGGTTACTTTAGAATAGGTCTTGTCTGCCCCCCTGTATTGAATGATCTTCCTGCATGTGGA